GTTTACCAAGGCACCATTAGCATACCAGTTCACAATAATGTTTAAAGCTCCCAGGCTCCTCTGGCATAATAGTTGCGAGTACAGCCTCTTGTTGCCGACCAACATTAGCAAGTTCAGTCACCACTCTCAGTTTATCAAAGTTCATATTTGCCCCACTGGTTATTGCAACAACATTTTCTCCTTTAAGACCATAATACTTGCAGTAAGCTTCAGCTCCAGCAAGAGAAAGAGCGCCTGCTGGTTCTAAAATGCTCCTAGTCTCTTCAAACATATCCTGCAAAACAAACACTAAGCTTGTGAAGTCTAAGATCTCAAAACTATTAAAGATAAGTTACAGTGTTGGCCGTCCTTTCTCAATGAGATAAACTAGCACCCGAATTGCATTTGAACTTATTACTGTTACAAATAGCCAAACATAGAAAAGAGGTTACTCCTGAACATAAATGAATTCATTAATAACACATATCTCTCTGATGTCATAATTAGACTACAGAGCAGACAACCTTAGTATGACATCAAAGTTCAAAGGATGAAAATAGAATATATATATACAGAAAAAGGGCTTGCTCTGAGACATATGGACAAGCAACTAAGTAGACCCCTGAGCAGAAAACAGCCTTGCAATAATGCCAGCCACGGTAAACTTGCTTCAAGGAAATCCAAGGTTGTAACTACATGTATCTGGGACAATTTTAATTTGAACATTCACTCCACTTCATTATCTTCTTTCATATATGTTACATAAAACAACTCATCCAAAAACAGATTGATTATCTTCATTCAAAGTCCTCGAGCAAATTCCCAATTCCTTCGTCCACATACTTTCTAACTGTTAACTAAGAACTTTGGCTGGTAGTTATTCAATTTACAAATATGTGAATGAATATGTGAATTTTTACACCAAAAAAGACAGGGAACATATTTACGTTACAAAGATAGAAGTAGGTTAAATTCTATAACATGAAAATGTGAACAGAAGTTTTGTTTAAAAAGTCTACTACCTAAGAATGCACGATAAGCAAAAGAAACTCACCCACGCAAGTTTCAAGACTGGAAAGAAGTTTTCACCTTTATTGAGCCACATATAGCATCACGGCTAACAAGAACTACACCATCTACCATGTCCTTGCATAAGCGGAAGGTTTCTTCACCAACCTCTTTCACAGCCACACCATCTGCAAAACCTCCAACCTGGTCCAACATTATTCTCTGACCATGATGCAGCGACAATGCCATTGCATTTGCATCAGAGGGCTCCACACCAATAATCTTTACCTGTACAAAAGATATCACAATACATTATGTGATGCTAAATTGAAGGCCTTTTTATAATGAAAAGAGGAAAGGAAAAATTAAATCTTTCCATGAAGAAAGCGCACAAATTTGAACAAGTCCAGTAATCCATTCAAAAGATGAAAAACACCAAAACCATACAAACCTTTGGAGAAACCCTCTTTACATATGCAGCAATACCAGCTATGAGGCCACCACCTCCAACAGGAACAAAAATTGCATGCAATGGGCCCTTTGTTTGACGCATAATTTCCATCCCAACCGTTCCTTGTCCGATAATAACATCTGGGTGATCAAAAGGAGGTATGAAGCTCCTTCCCTCCTCTTGAGCCCGCTCCTTAGCATAAGTTTGAGCCTCATCATATGAATCCCCTATAAGAACAACCGTGGCACCCAATCTCTCAACAGATTTCCACTGCAAACAAGCAATACACAATTCCACAACATTCAATAAGCCAAACCCACAAAATAGAATTCTGAAATTAAGCTCCAAAATGACAAAAAAAACAAAAAACAAAAATGTACCTTAATTTCTGGTGTGGTTACAGGCATTGCAATCACAGCGCTGCAATTCAACTTCCTAGCAGCCAAGGCAACTCCTTGGGCATGGTTTCCAGCTGAGGAGCAAATAACCCCTCGATCCAGTTGCTCCCTTGGAAGCTTTGCCATCATGTTGTAAGCTCCCCGAAGCTTGAACGAGAAGACCTGCAAATTCAACAAAAAAGTTTTAGTCGAAAATCCCCAATTTTTCCAGTCCAAATTATTCAAATGAACACTTGGAACAACACTTACAGGCTGCAAGTCCTCTCTTTTCATCCAAACTCTCACCCCCAATCGCTCCGACAGCTTCGTGGCCAATTCTAACGGCGATTCGATGGCCACGTCATACACCTTCGACGACAGTATGTTCGTCAAGTACTCCATGGCGTCGACAATGTTCCCGTTGTCGTTTCCGTCGGTGGCAGTACGGTCGGGTACGGCTCCGAGGAAGCCGGGCGGGTACTGGAGCGAATCGGCCGAGACCCGGTTGGGAGGCGGACACGGCGTCGTTCTGGTCTCGAAGGAAGCAGAGGAGGTGGACGGTTCGGCGGAAACATTGGCGGTCGGTCGGGAAAGCGTGGCGGAAACGAAGGGCTTGATCGGACGGCGGGTGCTGAGCTTCTGGGGCCCATTGGGGAGGTGAGACTGAAGGCCTTGTGACCGGAGAAGTGGGGAATGGGCTGGGTTGATGCGGAGGGCCTCCATTGGTTGATTGGTTGGAAATGGCGGCAGTTTTTTGCGAGGAAGGAGTTGGAGGTTTTCTGGGTTTTGCTTTTACTTCCTACTTTTAGTCACGCAGACTCACTGTTAAGCTCTTCGGAAGGGCCAATGAGAAAATGACACGTACAGTAAGGTAGATGGCTATTGGTCTGTGACGCAGTCGCAGGTTAGACTACGATCTGGAGTATGCAGTTTTTGACCGACTTTTAGGGGAGACGAGACAAATATTCACTTCAACCTTTTGTATGTGGTTGTGGGTCCCGCAATTTGGCAGAGATTGTGTCTGCGATTCGCGCGTTATTATTCATGGGTTAATGGTTTTATTAGTCCTTGAATTTAGAGCCGATTTGCATTTGAGTACCTTAATTTTCAAAATAGTTCTCGCGGTCCTTCAACTTCATTTCGTTAAGACAAATAATTCTGTCGTCAATTTTGTTAATTTTTCTGTTAAATACAGGGGTAAAATTGTATTTTTATATTTTTTTTACATTTTAAATTTATTAAAATATAAATAAAATATTTATTAAAAAAAACGTGAACTTCCACGTGGACAAAAAAGTAATAAAAAATTCTTCTTCTTTTTTCAAATATTAATTTTAAAAAACGTGATGTTCTTTTACAATTTTAAAGATATAATTTTTTATTCATTTTTATGGTTTTAATATAAAAATACCATTTTACCCCTGCATTTAACAGAAAAAATTAACAGAAGTAACGGTGGGACTAGTTGTCTAAACGAAACTAAAGTTAAAGGACCACAGATACCATTTTGGAAATTGAGGTACTCAAATGTAAATCCGGTCCAAGTTGGGGGACTAATAAAACCATTAACCCTATTCATATTTATTATTTACATAAACAGTCCCTTCACGTGGTTCACGGAGATCAGGGAGTGTCATGGTCAGTTACCGTTGGATTAAATCCAATGGTAGACATCAGTCAAGTAGGTGTGAGAAGTTGGTAGAATATTTGAGGATTATGGAGCTACTTGAGTATTAGAAATCAGAAAAAGGTAAAGAAGCTTTTGAGGAAAGCAAGAAGGCAAATCTCGAATAATGCAGAAACAAGATTTGAAGCTTGAAGCTTGGGAAGCAGAAGTTTTGAGGATATATGGTGCACTAGAAACAAGGACAAAGGTTATCAAGAAATTGGAAGATGAAGTTGGGGGCTGAGAGTGGTTTTGGACAAAGTGCAGGATGAGAAAAATGTGCTCTTGGAAAAGCTTGAATTGGCAGAAATATCAGCTTCCTCAATCTCCAAGGCGACACCACTTTAAATCAATCACATATGCTAATGTATGCATTCATTCATATGATCAACAAACATGCACTGAAAGGGTAAGAAAATTAGAAGCTATTAGAAGCTATTAGGTGCCTTGCTAGAAAGGAAAATGTGGTATCTATTTTTGTTCCTTCCAGATTGACAGTCTAACCACTTTGAGGTATCACATATTGCAGATTGGAGGAGAAGGGATCAAAATTGAGGAGGTCCTCGAAAAGGAAATAGAGCATCTGCAGAAGGATCGTGCAGCTGAACTGAAGGAACTGGTTTACTAGCGGTGGAGCAATGCGTGCTCAAGGCACTAGTTGATGAGGAATCAAGCACAGGAAGAGCAGCAGGATCAGGAGAAGAACAATAATTTGGCAACAGATTTTGAAGGAAGCGGAGAAATTGCAGATTATGGGTTAGCAAGCATGGTTTTGAAGCATAACGAGCCTTGCTTTGGAATTGTGAGCGGGGATCAGGCTTGTTCGAAAAGGCAAAAGCTATTTCAAAGGCTTAGAAGATTGGTGGAAGGCAGTGACCAGGCAAAAGGAAGAAGATTGGGTGAGAAAGAAAGGCATGAAGAAGTCAAGTGTTTTGGAAGGCATTCTGTTTCAGATGATGCAGAGGCATATCACATTGCAAGGAGGTCTTGCTCTAGTGCTTGAACACATACATATCAGTATATTACATCTCTTGCTATTCAGATATTAAATTCACATGTAAGATGTCTCATAGAAGGCCAATTTCTCCTTTAATGGTTGAGAGAGGCTATGAAAATGCTGAGCTTCAAAATCACATGTAACTCTACTGGGGGACTGATGATGACTTTGTAAATCATATGGAACCAATCTTTCTGACAGTTGCTTTCACTATAAATCTAAATAACCAAAGCACTTGTATGAAGTTTTCTTGATATGAATATGACCCTTTAAGCTACAAGACAAGGCATGCATAAAGTATAAATATATAAATAACATATCTTGTATATTTAAAACATTTATTTCTGAAAACTAAAAAAAGTTCCAAATTCTCACAATTTTTTTGTTTCTGAAAATTCAAAAAACTAAAATAAAAGGGTGGTCTCGAGCCCAAAGTTTGATGGAGCCCAGTCCTTGTGAATATGAATACTACAATGATGAACTCCATCCATTTGGCAGCACGTTGTGATTTTGAGACAATAAAGCTGTGGATGAAATAGAAAGCGCTATCCTCTCTCTTTTTCTCTTACAAAAACTAAACCAACTAAAGCATTGATTCTTTAACGGTATTAACCATTATTGCACCATGGAACTCTTCCTTCTTCCTTATCACCAACACAATCCAACTCTGCTCCACAGGCCTCCCTTCCCAGAACCCATTACAAGTACTCTCTCTCTCTCTCTCTCTCTCTCTCAGAGCTTGTCTTTTGGGGTTCATTGAGACTCAAGCAATTTTATTTGAATTCACAGGCAAGAGACTCCTCAAGAGGAACTCACATGTCTTACCATGTCAATGCTCATTGCCCTCCTCAGATGATGCTGCAAAACCAACCTACCAGTCATTACACTATGAGGGAAGGAGGGCTTTGATTGGTTCTCTTTTAACCTCAGGTTTTCCCTACTTTTAACTCCTTTTTTTTTTTAATCTGAACGCATAAGTGTAAAAATTAAATAAATAAAAAATTTGTTTTCATCTTGTTGAAAGAAAAAGAACTTCTTAACATTGAATTGGCATAATTTTAATACATTGGGTCTGGGAAATCTGTCCCTGTGGAAATTTAGATAATTCTAGTGGGTTTTGTCTATTTTCGTTTCTCATAATTGTCTCTGTTCTTTTCATATCTTCATATGATGTTTCATTCCTTCCATGAATGAACAATTTCTGTATACACTGGCTTATTGACCTCTTCATCTTTTTGATATGAATCAGCTGCTGGCTTGTATGTGTGTGATGTGGCTGAAGCTGTTAGCACAAGTAGGAGAGCTGTGAGTATCAAAATATTTTTTTGCTTTTGTTCTTTTATCTTCGAGATTATACTTTGGTGATTATTGCTGCTACGAAATTAAATTTAAGAAGAAAAAAACAAGAAATCTTATTTTTTTAAATAGTCTTTACATTCAAAATTTGTGACATTCATTTATTTTCTGCAGCTAAGAGGAGCGAAAATACCCGAGAGTGAATTTACAACCCTTCCCAATGGTCTGAAGTTAGTAAACTGTCGTCACTTATAAACTCTCTGCTCACCTGTTTTGCTTTCCCTCTCTCCTTTCATAATCTTTCATGGCACATTAAACCATAAACGTGGCATTTCATTGCAGCTTTCATGTTGATGGCATGCTACATGTAGATAAATGCACTTCAAAAAATTTCTTGTCAAGCTTAGAATTAATTTTCTAGAGTTTTTAAAGCTCTGCGTCTGAAATAATAATATACAAAGTATTACAATAAACTCATACCTATTTTACGATGCGATATGCTGTTTATTGATTTCAGCTGTGGAAGGTTCATATCTTTTCCTATGCCAAGAATTATGTACTGATGGAATTGTTCCTCACTCCTCAGGTACTATGACTTGAAGGTTGGGAGTGGAGCTGAGGCAGTGACAGGATCCCGGGTTGCAGTATGGTTGTGATCAAGTTAAATTTCAATATTTTGAGAATACATAAATAATACTTTCCTAGAATTTTCCAAAACTAAGCATTAAAAATGTCAATATTTTTGCAGGTTCATTATGTTGCGAAGTGGAAGGGTATCACTTTTATGACAAGTAGACAAGGACTTGGTGTTGGAGGAGGAACGGTAAGATTAGACTGGTGCTGCTATTCACATGTATACACAATATTTAGGTCATTTCGACAGTAATTTCAAATGCATATAGATAGAAGCGGACACCTTCAGTTTCCTTCTATATTACAATCAAAGGAACCAACCAATTTTATGATTACATAATATAGCTTCTGGAATACCTATCTAGACCATATATCAAAACTTTTCTGCTTAGTAAATATGCACAAACAGTTATATTTTTTTCAGTTAAAGTGCTGACACTCTTAACATGCCATCTTTCCTATGATGAATTACCAGTTAACTGATTCTCATTGATCCCTGTTCATAATTTCGGAAATGAATTCCTAAATTATTCGTTGTGCAGATTACTTCCAATTTTTAATTATTTCCGGCGAGCAATTTTTGGAGATTTTGACATCTTAGTTTACTAAACATTTAGTTTTATCTTGAACTGTGTACTTATGGTTCATGTTAATAAGGAAAATAGACTATGCTATCTGCACTCACCATACTGTGTCACATGTAAGTGTTTCTTATATCTTATAGTTGTTATATGTATGCTTGGATGCCGCAGCCATACGGATTTGACGTTGGCCAATCTGAGAGGGGATCAGTCCTTAAAGGGTTAGATCTTGGTGTAAAAGGCATGAAGGTTGGAGGCCAGGTGAGATCAGTGTTTTGGAATAAAATTTATTTGTTATATCTTGAAGCACTGTTGCTGCATAACTTGTGTTTACAATTTGAAGAAGAAAATTGGAGTTTATTTTTATGGTGTTTTGTAGTAAGCCTTGAGTGGAACAGTGTTCTGAAATCTGGATGGATTTATGTAGAGACTACAAATAATTTTGAGTCTCAAGCATCTGATATACAATCCTTTGATCCTCTGAAACTGTACAGACTAGAAATTTATGATTCTTACAAAATGATAGTTCTTTTAATATTTGGAGATCTTTTGTTCTATATATGATAACAGAAAAGCAGGTCGAAGTCTCTGATCTTCTCTTCATTGGACTGAGACCACTTAAACAACTGAATAACAACTTCTTCTTTTTGGGGGTTCAGCATTGATATGTACCCTTTTGGGTTCCTATTTCATCTAAATTATTTATTTTGCAGCGACTGCTAATAGTTCCTCCCGAGCTAGCGTATGGAAGCAAAGGAGTCCAGGAAATCCCTCCAAATGCAACCATAGAGGTAACATAATTTAATCTCCTTCAAAGGACTTCATCCACAAATCTCTTTTTCTGTCTTAGGCCTTTTCCATGGTCTTAAGTATATTACACTTAACTGCAGTGTTCACGCATCCCTGGTTAAAAATTCCCTCCAGATGTTATTCATAATGACTTGTTCTGCCATTCTCTTTCATCCCAAGTGTAGAATCTTTAGTAATTTTGTTTGCATACGAACTAAGCTATCTCTATCACTATTTTCTTTTCAAATTGTCATTTTATTCTTTCAATCTTTTCTGCTATCTTTCTTTCATGGGCCCTTCTCTATATTCCTCTTCACTGTTTTTGTACCTTTTTTTTATCTGCAGTTGGATGTTGAATTACTGGCCATAAAGCAAAGCCCATTTGGGTAAGTAATGGGTTCTCTAAAGTTAGTTAACCACTTTTTATATTTATATTGGAAGATATGTAGCAATTGAAAATTATCTTGTTACTCTCTTGTGCAGGTCTCCTGTAAAAATTGTTGAAGGTTAATGCAAATGCAATGATGCTCTTCCTACCGCTCGTCGTGTTCTTTTGTTAATGTAAATGAGGAGATTAGAAGCTCAAAAATTGTGGAAAAAGAGAAGATATGTTTGCTGTTCTCTTCATAGAAACCATAAAGCTGTCTTTTTTGTTCTGAGACATAAGTTTTCTATGCATGTGTCTGTGATGATTAAATGATTGAATGATCGGATCGATGATTGCTTATAAAAATGACTTATTTTTTGGGTCATTTAGGGCCCGTTTGATAACCATTTCATTTTTAGTTTTTAGTTTTCATTTTTTATGCTAGAGTACAGAGAAAAATGAGAGTGAGAATGGGACTGAGGATGAGATTGAGAGAGAGGATGAGAGGGGAGGATGAGAGAGAGGAGTAACAAAAGTGAAAACAACTTGAAATAGATTTCAGTTTTTAGTTTTTGCCCATCCACTCCTCTCATCTTCCCTCCCAATCTCATCTCTACTCTCATTCTCACTTCCATTCTCCTTCTTTTTCCTCTATACTCTAGCACAAAAAATGAAAACTAAAAACTAAAATTGATATAGTTATCAAAAAGGCCCTTATGTTCTTGTTGTCCTATTTTCTTGTTATGAATGTTAAATCTTTTCTATTTGATTTTTTATGCAGAACATAGCTTAATCTGCTTATGTATCCCTCTAACTTATCTGACTGTGATCCACGTGTATGCTTGTTGGAAAGCAGAACATTGGTGGGAGAGCCATTATGTTGCCTTTTATTTTTATAATAGATTTTTATTCTTAATCTATTGATTTGTTGCTTAACTTCATGAAGGAAAGCAGAAAAGTTGGCATATCATTAGTTTGTTGCACTGAAGCCTTTTCTGGTAATAGCTTTCCTTAAGTAGAGGTCACAGCTTAAAATGCTGTCCCTAGAGAATAAAGGAAGAATCTACAGGTCCTATAAAATCCAAAAGTTTTATGATTTTTTTCACATAAGATTCTTGCAGAGACTTTCCAGTTTTTGTTTCACCCACTTTATTCTCTTGTTGTATCCTTTTATTTACCCCATCTTCCTTCCCATATGCAGCATAAGCTTTTCATTGTTTCCCCTTTGTTCATGCAAAATGGTCACTAAGCCAAACATAATACCAGGCTTCCTCTTCTGCCATCTCTTGTTCCTTCTTTGTGTAGTTCATTACTGCTCTTCTCAAAAGACCTGCCCGGAATGTGGCTCCATAAAAGTCCCATATCCCCTGAGCACAAACCCCGACTGTGGTGACCCCGACTACTCTCTCCATTGTGACCCTTCCTCTAAGAAACTCTATGTTGATGCCCTCAATGGAAGTTATTATCTTGTGCTTCAAATCATGGCTCTGAATCAACGCATGCTGGTACAACCATCCCCATGGCTGCCTGACAAATGTGTTACTCAAGACATGGTGGTGAGTGAGGGCCTCTGGTTGAATCAGTCACTTCCTTTCAACATCACTTCGTCGAACACTATCTTCCTCTTTAACTGCTCTCCACGGCTCTTGGTTTCTCCTCTTAATTGCACTCCATCTAGCCTTTGTCACCGCTACTTGGAAAGCTCAGGACATGTTGACACAAACCGAGCACTTCAGTGTGCAGGCAAGCTTAAGCTTTGCTGCACTTTTGTTGCTGGTGGGACGCCTTCAGCCTACAAAATACGGCTTCACAGTTCAGGTTGTAAAGCCTTTAGAAGCATCCTTCATTTGGATATAAACCAGCCTGCAAACCAATGGGAAGAGGGATTGGAAATTCAGTGGGCTCCTCCACTTGAACCAATTTGTAGAACACAGCTTGACTGCTCTCAAGCTTCCAAATGTTCACCTACTGGTTCCAATGGCCTCTCTCGCTGCCTTTGCAATAGGGGCTACTATTGGGACCATGTTCTTGGAACATGCTCAAGGAAGAAGAGGAACACGAAAGCCGGTCTGCGTTTAAAGGTCTCAGTAGGGGTAATCTCTTTTTTCCTCGTGGCTGTAGTTATAGTGATAATTACAGTGAAAAGGTCCTGCAAATTCTCTGAGCAGGAAAAGCTTACCAAGGCAAGAGAAGACATGTTGAAGAACAATGACGGGAAATCGGCTAGAATGTTTCACTTAAAAGATGTGAAGAAAGCCACTAAAGGTTTCTCTAGAGACAGGGTTTTAGGGAGTGGTGGGTTTGGAGAAGTCTACAAAGGAGAGCTTGAAGATGGGACTGTGGTGGCTGTCAAGTCAGCTAAAGTGGGCAACATCAAGAGCACAGAACAAGTACTAAATGAAGTTGGGATACTTTCCCAAGTCAACCACAAAAATCTGGTCAGACTCTTGGGTTATTGTGTGGAAGCTGCGCAGCCGTTGATGCTCTATGAGTACATATCAAATGGGACACTCAGTGACCATTTACATGGTAAATTTTCCACCTTTCTTGACTGGAAAACTAGGCTCAGAATTGCCCTACAAACAGCTGAAGCATTGACTTATTTACACTCTGCTGCTCATACTCCCATCTACCATAGAGATGTCAAGTCAACTAATATACTACTTGATGACAATTTCAACGCCAAAGTTGCCGATTTCGGGCTCTCCAGGTTGGCTTGTCCAGGGTTGAGCCATGTCTCAACATGTGCTCAAGGAACATTAGGGTACTTAGACCCCGAATATTATCGCAACTACCAGTTAACTGATAAGAGTGATGTTTATAGTTATGGGGTTGTGTTGCTTGAGCTTTTAACATCACAGAAAGCCATTGATTTCTCGCGTGATCAAGACGACGTGAATTTAGCCATTTATGTGAGTGTAAGAGCTAACAATGGTGCAATTATGGAAGTTGTGGATCAGCGGCTGTTTAGCAAGGAGCCTGCAGGGAATATATTAGCAAGCATAAAGCTTTTCTTAGAGCTCGGACTTGCCTGTCTGAGGGAAAAGAAGGGGGATAGGCCAGCCATGAAGGATGTTGTTCAAGAACTCCACTGCATAATTCAAGTTTTAGATCATGAAGTGGTTCAAAACTAATGAGATTAGCTTTGTTGAAACTATATGAATTTACTGTACTATTAATGTAACCGAAAAATAAAATGTATTGTACTATTACTGGAGTGTGGAAATGTTCTCCTACAGGACTCTGTAACATGCTATTTCGTTAGATTGTTAATAAGACGAACTCTTATTTTAATTTGTAGTGTAAGATTGACAGGTAGACAACTTAACATACCAAACAAGACAATATTTATAATTGCACAATAAAGATATAAACGGTAAAAGCCTTGAATGACAGTAAATATAAAATATTTGGAGAGCAAATCAACTATTGTGATTAAGAAGAATCCGTTTCAGATTCTTCGTCCTTGATGAGTGCGTGTGGTTTAACACAAAGTTTTATAGAAATTGAAGTTAAATATTGTTATGGATAATATGATACAATCTTTGAATATTCATGTTTCCAAATGAGAGGATATGGAAGGAGGTGGAGATATATAATGCCAAGAAAGGCTTAGATTTTGAGTAGCACGCAGAAGCTAAAGTGATTCCAAGGATGGGTTTTGAGTGGAGGGAAAAAGAAGGGTTGGGATCAGATTCTTCCTTTGTGCAGAAATAAAATGATGCAGAGAAGACATGGACTTCCAATTCTGGGGTTATTGGAATCTATTTATATTTAGGATGTCCACATTAATTGGTTGGCATGGAGAAAAAGCAAGCAAGCTTTTTGCAAACAAGGAAAGCATTTTGCTTAGAATGTTTGAATAGGAAATTGGCAATTTTATCAAGCAAAGTGAAGCATTATGTAGAGTTAGTTGCTTGAAGACTAGTCTTGTCATAGATTCATATCTAGTAAATTTCGAATCATTACTGAATACTGGTCGTGGTAAGAAGTGCAATATGACTATTTTGAAGTGCTAATAACAATTTTCATTGTATTTATATAAAGTCAGTCGCGAGTTTTTTACATCGGGTTTATTTTTGTAATGATTAAAGTGTGGAGTTATAACTAATGCAGACCAGCATCAGACTCCAGATTGTTAGTTGCTATTGCTTATTGTCTCTTCCACAAACTCAAGTGGAATGTTAAATTGCAAAGCTTTAATTGGATCCAGAGAAGAGGAAAAATTTTTATTACAAAATAAAATCTAAACTCCAAAATCAACATAACTGCCTAACTCATGCGTGAGAATTTTGATTGCTATCAAAATCGTCAATTGGTTCTTTGTACATATGATTCTTAAATTGTAATTTAGTAAATAAAAGGTTTTGATTATGACATGTCTATGGTGAAGATTCATTAATAATAAGGAGGTGGACAAGGAGGCGAATCATCCTTATTTAAGTCGAAAATACCAAAATTGTGGACTTCATATATTTCTTTATCTTTTCTTTTTTCTTTTTTCTTTTTTCTTTTTATAATCAAAAGGGGAGTAGAGAAAAGTCCTAAATACATGCAAAGCAACATCATTTAGGCCATAAAACAATATTAACATGAAGAAAAAAAACATGCAATTAGTCGATGGATGCAATTATTTTACAGCAAACGATGAAGGGGGGAGGTAAAGAGTGGGGAAAATAGAGATAAAGGTCAACTTTTAAATTGGGATAAGTCTAAACACCAAGATTGCATTGACTTCTAATATCTATTATTATTATTATTTATTATTATGGTTGTTCTTGTTCTCCTTTAATGCTTTCCCCCCCAGTGTGGGAATAAAATAAAACCAATAGTTCTTTCTTTTGGGCAAGTAAAATCAAGACCGTTTGCATTACCACTAGTGTCAATATTATATAAATTATCAAGCGTGACAGAGTGATGTCAAAAGATGAACCCAACTTCTGGAAAAATTATAAAATAACCACAATAACTTTGGTGGGAAAGAAAAACCAAAACGTTTCCACCACAAAATGGATAATGGACTAATAATGAGTTATTTCAGTCCTAATCAAGACTCTAAATTGGTCACCTGTTTTACATGTATAAGATATTTTTAAAAAGATTGTGCATATCAACAGCCGAAATTGCATCTAAGATTCACGACTAGCATTAACATTTCCCTTGTCACTTAAGCATGACAAGTCATGTGAGGAGTTCCAACTCCATTATGTATAAGTACAAAACACAGAAAACATAAGCAAGGAACCCAAACTCTTGATTAACAGTTCTTGAAGTTGTTCTTAAAAAAAATATATATATATATATATTTTTTGGTTGAATGAGCAGTTGCCAGCATACTGTAAATGCACATTTGGCAGCATTGAGGACCATAATACGATTGGAATTCAAAATCTTGTATTCCATAGATGGATAGCAAATACAGAATCTCTTGTACAAAACTTATGGAATGGTTTCACTTTCATATATTTCAGCTTTAGAGGAAAAAGTAGCAAACCACCAGCATATCACCTGCGATAGCGGTATCGTTTGAAGTTGAAGTATACGTGCAATATTCCACGTTCAAACGTGCATTTGAAGCCCTTCTTATGAGAGTATTCCCATTCTTTGTTTACTATCCGGAATGCCTGTAAAGCAATCATGAGTATGATAAGTAACTTGATCCTGAACAGAATCATCACCAACAAAATTCAACTACAAGATCAAGAGAACTTACAATGTCCTCGTAAGGTGGTCCCGCATGAAACCTTATAATGCATGTCTCGCTGCTGTTGCCATCCTTCTCAATAGTATAATGTGGGGCCTTTGTCTTGTCCACAAGGTCTGGATAGAAGATGTTGAATTTATATCCTTGCACAATCTTTGGAGGTGGGTTATCGTGATCATAGTGAGTCTGGTTGTATTTGTTCCACTCATATCCAGTGTGAACGCGGTTGAAATATTTCGGCTTTCTAGGTCGGTACTTGTCATGCCACCAATATACCTGCATCCACATTTATTCATCAAATTCTGAAGAAGATGCTAGAGATGCGCGCAACTAGATTTTCAGTTTCATTTTAAATATGATTTGGGGGGGAGGAGGAAAGGTAATGAAGGGAAAAATCGACAAAATGAAGTACCTGTGAGTCAAGGTTCACTTCAGAATTAGAGCCAAAAACTGCATCTCCTTCCTCCATGATTCCCATGGCTTTCATGGCCTTCATCTCAAAGTTATCTTCTGGTGGTGGAGCTGGCTTTGATGCCAAAGCTTCTTGAATCCGTCTCTGTTGTTCTTCTAGCACAGCCACACGCTTCCTTTCCTGTTAACAAGCAACTCATACAGTTACACTCATGATTGCTTTACACCAAGTAGTCTCCAATCTCTGGAAATAAACTTTTCTTATTATCTCAACAACTGCATTTTAAAGAACTACATGGGGGGTATTTATAGCAAACTAAAACCTAGAGATAAAAATCCCTTACTAAAACAGAAATTCTAATCCACCAAGGAACTAATTCAAATAAACTAGGAAACTTAAATCAAATCCTACTAAAATCTGGAAACTAAAATCCTAGTGAAATCTGGAAAACTAAAGAATCCAGGAAACTAATAAATCAGGAAATTAACAAACGGTGTCCGCATCAACCAGTGCACATAAAAGCTTGCATACTCATGTATTCTTAAAGAAAATAAGTAAAAACTTCAGAACCTGAAAGAAGAAACCCTACCAGCATAGCCCTGTCCTCTTCAGGGTCAAACACTTCCTCATTTTCATCTCCATGAAACAGTTCTGGTGAAAATGATCCGGCCTCTTCCTCAGCCATGTCAATCTCCTCCTCCTCTAAGGGTTCTGGAGAAAATGCTTGAGCATCTACATATAAAAATATATTAGCAAAATCATCTTGGTAACAAAAATGCCTAAATCCACAGGTAAAAAGTGTGCATACCTTGAACATCAGACTCACTCTCCTCCTCTTCAGGTTGTAAATCATGAACTGTATCCAAGTTCTCTTCACCGTCCACCCGTTGCTCAAGGCGTTGCAAATGTTTGTGCAACATTTTAGTATGGATTTCTTTCAAACAAGCCTGTATTTGCAACAATTTAAATAGTAATAAGGCCAAACGAAGTAGTAGTAAATAAAATGCAAAGACATACATTAAAGAAGACAATGACAGGTACCTTTGCCCTGAATATATGGAGGCGTGTAAGAACAGCCTCCCAATACTCAACAACCTTGGCTGTTCCAGAACGCATCTGTGACTCAATTTTGGACTGTAACGCCTCCAATTCACTATAAGTCTTTCCTTCTAAGAGAGTCTTGACATCTGCTTCAATGCTAGAATGCAAGCCTCTTTGTTCCGCAAGCAACTCAGCAGGAGGTTCCTCTCCACGAACCTTAGCTCGAGCCAATGCATCTTTCTTCCGAGCTTCAGCTAGCTCCCAATCCGCAACCACCAAAAGTGCCTGTCAATTTGTACATATCAGGATACAGTCCAACAACAAATCTACATTATCACATTAATTATTTTAAGCAACATTTACATCTAACAAATCTTCAGGCAATCAAAATGAAGTGCAAGTAATCATAACTATGGTTTGCAGCTGGCCAAATTGCAACCTTTCATGTGCCTTTGATTCTGAGATTCGCTCATTGAGTACAATTGAATTGCTAATCCCAAGACCACTCCACCGAAACACGTTTTTTTAAAAATTTAATGAAAATTAAAAAAAATTAAATGAGCGTCAACACTGCTATATGTTTAAGAGTCCCCACCACATCGACAGAATAAGAATATTGAATTAATCAAACCAAAGGCAAAAACAGAAGACAACAACTTATTAGCATAACTTTGAGTAATCTGAAGCACCCATTACAGGGGGTAAAGTATCCACGAAAAACACTGTCAAAGGTAAAAGGCCACTAAAGGAAAAGAAAGAGATAATACCTCCCAGAACTCTATATGTGTTGGTGTTGCCCTGTCCAAATCAAGATGCATTTTGATGTCATCCCTTAGCTCTTCCATTTCCTTTACACTCAAGCCCTGCATCGGACATGTCAAATGCCAATGTGAATAATATTCATTTCAAAACAAATAAGAAAAGTTCAATCCATCTCATTCTAAAGTTTAACAATGTGCAAAGCATCATATAACAGCACGTAAACATACACACTGAACAAAAGATAGACATACTTAGCTTTCCAAACATTTGACTAGTTACAACAAGAAGTTTTCCAACTAACACAGAAAAAACGGAAAAACTTTAGCTCAATGTTCATGTACCCAACTT